TTTTAGATAAATGGTGAAAGTTTAATTCATTCTTTGGCATCTGGTAGATGGTTCAATTCCTGCCATCAAATTAGCTACATACAGGCGGCGCTTAAACTCAGGAAGTGAGGTAGAGAATCTGGTATGTCAGTTTTCACCGTATTTCATATCTCTCTTCTAAACCCTTTCTGTTGCTATCTTTTCTCAAGAAAGTTTTCTTTTTACCAATTTAAGTAGTTGTTTAAGACAGGCTAGTCAAGAGGGGAAAAATTCACAGAAGTTTTCTTCACTTAGAAGGAATATGGGCTCTGAATTTTCATGCATGATCAAAGAAGCAAAAGTCCTTGGATTAGCACTTGGGATTCCGTGCTTAGATGGGTAATTTCCCATATTTTATGCAATTCAATATCTTTTGATAATGAACCCAGGACTAATTGATCCCTCTCTTCTTCTTCCCTTGAATTCAGGATCGAAGAAGCTGAAGCACAATGTGCATTATTAAACATAGAATCCTTATGTGTAAGTAGTTCTTGTTTTCTTAGTGAGTACAATTGAAACGCTATGATAAGGCACTCCTTTCATTTAGTTACTTCACTATCATCAGGATGGGTGTTTCTCTTCTGATTCAGATATCTTCCTTTTTGGCGCAAGAACAGTGTACAGAGACATTTGCCTTGGTGAGTGTGTGGGTAATATTTTTCCTTCTTGAGTTGTTTTACAGTATCATTCTGTAGTATTAATCTCGCTAACCATTTCATTTTTTGAATTAGGGGAAGGAGGTCATGTTGTTTGCTATGAAATGGCTGATATAGAGCAAAAACTTGGATTTGGAAGGAACTCCTTGGTAATTTTCATCTTGCCTTCTGACATGTACTAATCGTTAATTCTACTAAGTTTGCTAACTCATAATTCTGGGACTTTCAGATTTCTCTGGCCCTTCTTCTTGGCAGTGATTACTCTCAGGGTGTTCATGGTCTGGGTCCGGTATGTTTCAATGACAAATGCTTCTAATCTCCTGGTCAGTTGTTTTTGCTTTTTTTTTTTTTAAAGATGCTTATTGAACATGACACCTGTCCTCCTTGCTAATATAGGGGTCAGCATGCCAGATTGTTAAATCAGTTGGAGACCATGATATTCTTCAAAAAGTTGCATCAGAAGGACTGTCTTTTGCGAGGAAGACAAAAAGTTCAAAAAAACAGGGTCAAGACAAGTGCAATGACAAGGCAATCACATTGCATCATGAAGTGAGCACGAATGGTGAATAAAGAAACCTTCCACTATTACATATTAGGTTATTACTAGCTTGTGTAGATATTGTTTCCAAAATTTATCAAGTTAAGGTTCACTGGACAAAATGATCGAGCTAAAAGGGGAAGAGCCCTTTGCGAATAGTGCTAGAATCAGAAAAATGCTTATTATATTGTGAGATGACTTCTATAAAGCACCTTAGTCCTACTAGTAAATATATCCTTATTTGAGAGAAGGTTTTGATTTCGTAGGAGAAAACAGCACTTGACCTATATAGTCTGATAGGGACTCAGACTACTATTTTCAAGGATGCTGGTTGAGTGCTATTTAAACTTTAAGCTTGACATGAGTTGAGTAACATGTGCTTAGACTGATATAGCTAGTTATTCATAGAAGTCACCAATTTCAAATTGTTTTGACTTTTCAAATGGTTGTGATAGGAAGCAATCATAATTTACAAAGAGATAATCAGTATTTGCAAGTGGTGGAAGCATATATGAAGCCCAAGTGCCACTCAGCAGATTCTGATGTAGTCAATAGGTAAAGTTATATACAACAGTTCTTTTTGTATAATTTTTTTTTTAAATAGTTTCTGCTGTGGCAAAGCTTATACCAATACAATGCACTTGTTGCAAAAAGCATTTTTACTATATTCTTTTATTTTCAATTTTCTATTTTCTGTATTCTATCTCTCTACTTCCTGTCTCAAAAAGTTTACATGCATACGAAAAGGATGAAATGAAGTTGATATTGACATGTGTGTGCATAGGGACATTTGAATGTTTGATGTAATCATGGATGGATGGGTGGGTGAGTGGAGTTTTTCTTATATTTCCTAGGGAAGAATGAATGGATTGATGGTCCAGCATAAGCATAAACTTAACATTGCCTCTCTCTAGTGTTAAGAAGATCTAACCTTTTCCTAGAAAAGAAATGGTGTTTAATGACTATCCCTAGGCCTTATTTTTATTTGATTGATTCAGTGTTAGTGTACATGTAGACCTTTCCAAATGTTGGGATAGTTAAGGATAAATCTTTAAGTGAAATATAGTTTCGGCCATTTAAGAGAACTGGGGTAATTTTGAAGGAGGGTCTGATTGTGTTTATACATGTGCCTCTGCTTATTTACTTCAATTGCTTTACTGAGAAAGGTTATCCTTGATTCTTAGTGGAAATCGAAATCTCCAAACATCTAAACTGAAAACTGAGTAGCCTATCTTAAGATGACTGATTGTTTGGATTGGGTCTAGTCATCAGTTCTTTCATTTTAGAAGCCAGCCTGTGAAGTTTTTTTAAACTGATTTATTCTTGTAGGGTTCTTGTGCAGCATCCATTTCAGCGCGAGCTACTTCAACAGCTATGTGCTCAGTACTTTGAGTGGCCTCCTGAGAAAACAGGTACTTTGTTCAAAAATTCACCAACTACATATGCAAAAGCATTTGTATACAATATTTGCTATATGTTCATGAATGCAAGCATCCTTAGAAGTTAATATGCAGTTTGCACCAGTCATCTCATGGTGTATCAATTGCTTAGATGAGTACATCCTTCCTAAGATTGCTGAAAGAGATTTACGACGGTTTGCCAAGTTGCGGTCAGCTTCGTCTCAATTAGGTGTTAACATTCCATTGAAGGAGGTATTATTACCATTGTACATCTTTATACCAATTCATTCTTGAACTTCTGCAAACCACCATTCTTCTTTGACATGCTGCTTTTAAAAGATTTATTGCTTCTGAAGGACCTTTATTGGTCATTCATGTGGTGAAAAAGCAATTGCTAGTGTCATTTTGAAAGTGTTCTAATTAGAAGAGTGTGTTTGGAGTTACTAATGATGTCAATGGACCTTTATGCTCTCCAATTCACTTTTAAAAGCTAATGATTTTGGATTCTAGTTATTAAGGAAATGGAGTGGACTAAGTGTTGAAGTACTTAAGTTACCTGTAAGCCTCCAGCTTGTGGTGTGATAATCAGAATATGTATCATAATCTCTTCTTGCAGTTTTGTACCATAAAGATTCTGTAGAGAACTAGAGTAGCATTTAAATCTCCATTGAGAAATCTGTATGATGGTGTTGATGCAGATCTTTAAGGTCTAGTATACCATTGGTAAACTTTCCCATTACAGATACCAGTCAAGTGTCCTGTATCAGTAATTATTAAGCGCCGAAAAGTTCATGGAGAAGACTGTTTCGAGGTGTCGTGGGAAGAGCTAGATGGAGTCAAAACCTCTGTAATTTCAGCAGATCTCATAAAGAGGTATGTTGCTGTTATCATTTGCTTATCAGCATGTGTTGATGTTAAGGTGGTACACAAGAAACTAAAGCTTTTTATGTTTTCATTCAATTTTCTTAAAATCTCTGCACAAAAACAGTTAGAAAGGAAAAAGCCATGGGTGAAATTAATGTTTCACAATAATGCCTTGAAAAAATATCCACAGAAGATTACCATGAATAACTGAAGTGAATTTTGGGACCCTTTACTCTTTCTCACTTTGATCACTGCATCCTGATATCCCAACAAAATGGCCTTTTATATGTTATCTAATCTAACTTTTTAATAGCTCTCTCTTCCTTGATTTCTTCAGATATTTGGCAGCATTCTTACTTTTCTTCATCTTCCTTCCTGATCTATTATTTGGTCATTGAGGTATATTCTAAATAAATGATTTATTTCCTGTTCTCCCACAGTGCTTGTCCTGAAAAGATCACTGAGTTTGTTGACAGAAGAGCTCTAGAGAAGAAACATCATCGTAAATCAAGACCAAAGAAATCAGAACAAAAATGTTCTGTGGCTGAAATAGATCTGAAACTCCAAGATCTGTTGCTTGACATCGAGTTAGGAAGCAAGTCCATTCCCATTGCTTCAAGAGAAGTTATATCAGGCAAAAGGACCATGGCAACTGAGGGTCATTCCATAAACCTAGATCCTGAGGTTATTTTGGAGTCAGAAGGCAATGCTGATTGCAAAGCTGCAACGTTATGCCCACAAACTGGTATGACTGCTCCAAAGCATGAAGTTATTGATCTTTTGAGCCCCCCTCCGCTAGTGCAGTCCCAGAATGTTCCCAGATCTACTGACATTAGTGTAATTGATTTGAGTGACTCAGAAACTGAGAGGTCAGCTGAACATGTGAAGAAAGCAAGAGAGCTTAGATTGTTTCTGGCCAGTATTCGAGATGATATTCATTGAATGAGCCACTTAGGACTCTGTAGATAGACAACTCTGACGCATGCTTTTTATTGTAATATGCCAGAGGTGCTTCTCTGTTGTTTAACGTTTGTCTTCTACTGTGTTATTAATGTGAATCTTGTTTGTCATGGAAAATATTTTATAGCTATGGACCTTTGCTACAGCACAGTTTTATAGCCATGGAAAATGATCACACAGTCTTATAGTCCATCGAATTGCCTAATCTATATGTTTTAGTGTAATCAAGGTTTCTGAAACATTATTTAAGATAAAGAGAAGCGAGAGGTCGTAGTTCTCTTATCCTTTTTGAAGGCACGAAAAGGAAAACATAAATGAGACGAAGCAATCTCATTCTTCACAATAAAACGTTGGGAAGAATAAACGTGAAACTCAGGCAATTCAATATAAAAATTACAAAATTTCTTCCTATACAATAGCATTCACGAAATTCCAGCAATCCAGCATCTGATTTGGGTCTCCGTCAACTTCACGTTGCTGTTCTCCCCATACTATATACATGCTGTCTCACCTTTAGGAACTGCCACTTATCCGGAGGAGCAAAATGTTAATATGAATGTCTCAAAGAAATGGGATTACAGACTACTATTTGCTGAAGCAATGCAACCTAATCAATCTTAGCAAATAGCAGAGATCCATAAGAATTTGCTTTCGCCATTAAATTCTTCCGAAAGGAAAGAAAATGACACAGAAAGCATTCATATAACTTGCCTAAACATTTTACCTGTTTATCAATTCCTTTGCGATGCTTCTAGCCTCTTTCAATAACTGAAAGCTTTTGCCAAAGTCATCATCGGTTATTGCAGATTTCAAGCTCAAAAGCAAGTCACTGAAAGCACTGGCAAATTCTTCTAAATTCTCTAGCCTTTCACTGCAGAAGCTACCAATGGATTTCAGTATCTTCTCTTGTGTTTCTAGTTCTTGATCACTCGATGACATTTCTAGCTGCCTTTCTTCTGATTTCTTTCTCACTCTGCTGCTTTCGATTGCTTCCAGCCTTGTAGCCATGATAATTGCCTGACTGATGCATGATGAAGGTAGCTGCATGAAAACAGAAAGTATCCAAACAACTTAAGTGACAAGCAAATGTTTAGAATGAAAAGTTCATCCATATTCACAGAGGTTAGTGGGAACAATCAGCAACATCCACAAATGCCAGAATTGGGAGAGCAAGAGTTACCTGTGCAAGCTGTGCAACCTTGAATCCAAAACTCCTTGCAGAAACACCAGGAACAAGCTTATATAGGTAGGTGACTTCATGATCAGATTTTGCATCCATAGTAACCTCATCATTATGTGCGGTCAGATACGAAACATGATATACCTCCACAGACCCAGGAAATTCAACTTTAATATCAGCAATTCTAGGGTAGTGGGTTACAAAGAGGACCATGCATTTTCTCTGCTCCAACAGATGATGTAATGTAGAATAAGCAATAGCTACACCGTCATGTGTACTAGTTCCTCTTCCAAGCTCATCAATTATAACCAGTGAGTGTGCTGTGCAGTTGTGTAGTATTTGAGAAGCCTCACTTAGTTCTTCTAGAAAGGTACTTCTCCCTTGTTGTATACTGTCAGAGGAACCCATGCGTGTGTAGATAGCGTCTAACACATGCAAAGTAGCTGATGCTGCTGGTACAAAGGAACCAACCTAGAAAGATCAGGGAGCACATTTCGCAACAGTAATTAATATTTTTATTTCAGGAAAAACAATGAAAAGAGAGAGAATTGGACATCATAGAGATTATGAGCATTTGCAGAAAAGAATTTAATAAATAAACCCCCCTCATAGTACAGTATGAAATTATGCAGAAGAATTTGCGAAGGGAAGGGAAAAGGATAGCCAGGGAGGAGGAAGGAGAGGAAGATGGAGAGAGAGAGAGAGAGAGAACTAATATGTGAGCTCCAATTCTACCTGAGCCATCATTGCAATTAGAGCAACCTGGCGAATGTAGCAACTCTTCCCACCCATATTAGGACCAGTAACAATCTGACAACACTCCCTGTCGGCATGCAATGTTGTGTCATTTGGAACAAAACCCTCTTGTAAGATGGTCTCCAACACCTGGTCAAGCATAGCACTCAATAAACAAACATCCGACAGCAATATATGAGCTATAATTTAACTCAAAAACTTATCTGATATTGTTACAAGTCAACAATCATGGTGATTAATTTTAGGGGCAAAAGACTGTAACAATAGTAAAAATATGAAGAAGGATAAGGCATTGATGAAGAGAAAAAATTTATGAGATGTAGTCTGATTTACATTACAACCAGGCCAAATCAAAGCACCCCACGTTAACTCATTAACAGAAAGTTGATTTTCCCCCACAGAGACAAATATTACACAACAGTCAAATTCTTTTTAAGCTTAATTCTCATACAATAATCTGTAAAAAGGAAAAAAAAAAAAAACAATAGTAGTCCAGTTATGACTAAAATGCCCTGGGGTATGAGCACTTTTAAAAATACTAGCTTAATTTAATTAGAATATTTATTTTGGGCAAAAATAATTAGACTCTTTATTTTCCACAACTAAGATGCTAACAAAACTTTCATAATCCCAATTCTAATTTTCCCATCAAATAATAAACTAACAGACTTAACAAGACAGATTTGAGCAACCAGCAACAAGCCAACAACCCAAAGCTCTGAAAATACAATTTAGAGATCCTTTAAACGCCATGCAAATTAAGAGAAACTTTTGGCATTGATGACAGTAAGCACTTGACAAATGATATTTGTAGTAATAAAAGTTAGCATTTAGTGAAAAAGTTCTTTCAACATGTGCCCAGTAGATTCAGTTAGTTACGAGTATAGTTAGATTTAATATGCTTAATTACATATGCTTCAACATACAGGGTGACGACCAGATTGGATTTGTATCTGAACAGGTTCATTGTCATCCACAAAGATAGGCCGGACATAATTCTGCGATAAACCATTAAAAATAATAATGAATATCAATTAAGCTTAATCAAGGATAAAGTGTTAAGATGCACCAAGTAGATACCTTATTTCTTGAAAGAGTGGCAAGAGAGTGCAAACAGTCCAAAGCAGCAAGTGCTTGAACAGCAGCTTGAAACTCGGCATAATATTCACTAAATTCCCTAAGAAAGCTGTCCCAAGCAGCTCGACAAATAATGGTGAGCTCTTCATTTGCCAGTGTTAACTGGTCTAGAGCAGCCAACACTTCAGGCGGATGATACCTTATTGTCTTTTTGGTACTATTTACCTTAACCCAGTTTGAAGGTACATTGGCATCTATGGGTAGCTGCATCAAAGCGGCAGGGATTCAGGGGCACACAAACCAAACTACAGTTGCAAGAAGAAGAAAATGGTGTGCAAAAAAATTATAGCTGTCTGGACAACTTTATTGATTAAGGTCTCACAAATAAAAAAATAAACCTACCTCTATCAAATGAGTGGTTCCTGACACACACATAAATTCCAAATTGCCTTTCCCAAGTCGCTTTCTATACAAGCAAATCAAGTTATCCAGTTTCTCCTTTGCCAATTGAACTGCTTTCCTAGCTCTAGCAACCTGCAGGTAACCAGTCGAACCCATAGGATCCAAAAAGATCACAAAATCAAGGCAACAATAAGCACAAGGAGATTGAAATTCAGAGATCTTCATATAAAATACAAACCTCTGGAAATTGGTCGTTAGAAATAATGATTAAGTTTGTTAAATCCCCTTTATCAGCTGCTTCTTTGTTTAGGAAAGATAGTAGTTTTGCAGCATTGCCAAGAACACTGGATGATGAAGCAGTCAAAATCAACCTTTTCAACAGAGCTGACTGCACAATCCCTACTCGCACTTTTTTACTGCAATTGTCTTCATGTTCTTCATCAATATGAAGCCACTGAAGTTTCTTTCCAGCAGATAAAATAGCTTGAATAACTGCAATGAACTATACAATTGGATCATTAGGAATTTATTGGCACATCAAGCAGGGGATTTTAACACAAAGGCCCCACTATTAAAGCTAATGTAAAACAAGGAAAACATAGCATTCTTATCAATGGCTTCAATGCAGGAGGGGAAACAAGAAAAAATTACAGAAGATCAAGTCACTAATTGCAAATTAAAATTTAACTTTCCATTCCTTCATCAGTACATATCCCAAACAACCTGCCAATCAAAAGACTTAAGAAATCATAGTGCCAAAATTCCATATTATAACATTGAAACAATTCCAGGCATATGAAATATAAAGAGCCATATGAACTTGACTACTTGAGTACTAGATACTCTCATGCTGCTTGCACAATAACAAAGATAAAGAGGGTGATTATACCTCTGCTGGGGTGGCAGTTCGATGGAAGATTCTTGTTATTCCACGCTGAATATCAGGAGATCTTCCTAAAAAAGTTAAAACCGAGGAAAGCACAGAGTAGAATTCTGGTTGTCTAATGGTTACATCAGAATCTTCCCCATCTATCTCAACGATACTTTGTGAGACTTTATAACACCCCATAGACAAAGCAATTTCAGAAACAGCATCAAGTCGAGCAGATATCATGGTTCTATCACATAAAGGATGAGTCACCTGTTTAACGAAATAACTCTTAAGGTAAAATCATGGTTTAGAAAAAATATGGACAAACCACCAGAAATAAGACCAAGTTTTATCTCACCTACCCAGTGTCTAAGAAGCCTCGATCCATAAATAGTAAGGGTATGGTTCATGATTTGCAGCAAGGAGCCAGATTCAGATCCATCTGAATTATTCCTCAGAATCTGGAGATAGCAAAAGCATCCATTCAGAGTTAAACAAGGCTTAATAGAGAAGCACAAAGTTCTTAAACAGATGTACTAGCTTCAAGAACCACTCTAGCCACCAGCAGTTTTTTAAAATCGAATAATGTACAGATTACTTTACCCAAAAGTCATTGCTAACTAATAACAAACTTCCAGAGTTCCAACCAGGTACCACTGATCAAAAAATATTACACCATGCAGATTTTACCCTGTGTTATCAGTCTCTCGTACAATGCTTGCCAAGCCAAATATTTACCAAATCATTTTACGAGCCTAAACTTGTTCCCAACTAATCACAAGGTCGACAAGATATATTAATAGGGTACACTTGTTAAACCTAACAATAACCGCAAATATCCATTAGGACACCCACGAGCTGATGACAAATTTCTGATGCCATTTTGTGACTGGACAGCCCAACAACAACTCAGATAAGAGCAACTTGGCAGTAAAGGAAACTAATATTCTGAGAAAATCTCAGTAATAGACACATACACAAAATGATAAAACAATTACCTCTAATCGTTGAAGTGTATTTGCTGAAAGATTCATCTCCAAGCTGCTCGATAAGGAACGAAACGAAGCTTCAAGGCACATAATTCTTTCAAATCCAAATTGCTTGAGATGACGAATGGTTAAGGCCAATGCTTGTAAAGCCAAATCTGGCATGTTCATAACTCCCTTAAAGCCAACAAATTCAAGAAAAGTAAATTAATACATTAGAACAAAACCAGCAACAAACAACGGCTTAGGGGAAGAAAGAAATCAATTTAGTAGTATTACAAGGAAAAAGGTAGGAAAGAAGCAAAAATTGCTATCTAAGGAGCAGCAAAATATTGTTTAATTTCAACAGGATAAAATATATACATATAGTTGACCAAACAAGTTATCCAAAGGTTGACAGCTAAGAGTTAAACAAACCACAATACTAACTTCATTCAAAATCAATGTTTCTATCAGTGTGCAAAAATGTAGGGGCCAATGTCACACCTGAATTGAAGAGTGAGAATATTCCTGTTTTGTTGCCTCCAAAGACTGATTCACATTACCGGCTAAATTATCTTCAACCATCTTCTCATATACAGACATCACTTCTGCAAGTGCGCCACCACCCTTGAAACAATCACAAGAGGCATGCTCCAGACGAACATTTGAGGCAGGTCCAGCATATGCCAATAGCAACTGATACAAGAATTTTTATATCAGTTAAAAGACAGAGCCAGATTATATTGGTTCATCTATAAAAATATTCTACATGATACCCTTTTTTTGTTTTCCATAAATGAATGAGCCAGATGCTTTGACCAGATTTTTAGTTAATATTCAAAATTATACAAGGAAATGCATTTCAACCGAAAATACTAGTGAGTGATAAAAGTGTACAGGACTAAGTTTACCTAATTATACAATTGGTAAGCTCCAAAGACTACATTCTAACTCTTTTTCCAGTAAATGACTCCTTGCAGCTCTACTTTCCCACTCATAACCATATACCAAAAGATTCCTCTTCTTATACTGCATTTTCTCTTATAAACAGCTGTTAAGTATATAAATCTATAAGAACAAAGTCATTTCCAAGACTTTCAATACATTCCACTCTCCAACTTCCTCAACATGGTTATTTCAGTTTCTTCTTTTTTAAACAGGGTAGCTTAATTTTGATAATTAAATCACTTAATATTTCCTACAAGGGCCTCTCTTAATATGGCACTGCACAAACTATAACAGCAATAAAGTAAGTTTTACAAACCAACAAAGGATATACCTTTTCTGTTTGCTTCGAAAGCGGTTCTCCAAGCAATAACTCAGCAGGTGCCAAGCTAAAAACCACAGCTTCAAGCCCGCTCCTCATAACTCCATCATCAAACTCCCCATAAACAACATCCCCCGTTGAAATCTCCACTCCAACAATTCCAACCCTCACATCAACCGCACCAGAGCCTGAAACAGACCCCGAAAACTCCAAACCTTTCTCCACAACGCAAACCAAATAATTACTCTCTCCACCACACCCTTCTCTTTCCCTCCCACATCCTCCGCGGCTTCCAGCGTAGCCTTCGTGTATAATGCTGACAACCCCTGCAAAACGGTCCAACTCGGTTCGAACCATGTGCCTTAATCGCCGCCGTTTCTGTCTGTTTCACCACTCCAACCTTGTATCCAGCACTGACCAGCCTCCTCACGTGGACATTCAGTCGAAAAGTTGGCACGCTAGCCGTTAAGAAGTTGCGGTCCACGTGGGCATATATTCCCAACACTTTCGCCGCGATTTCCGCATCCTTCCCGAAGAATCGGAACCTGTAACCGACTTCCACCATGAGAAGAACATCCGGGTATTTGTTTTTTAAATCACCACTTGCTGTTCTAGTGGGGTGTACTTTTTGGGGTCGGATTCGGAAAGTTCGACGGTAGGTTCAAGAGGAGGTGGTGGAGAAGGTTCCAGAAGTTTCTGGAGAAATTTTTGGTGGAGGGAGGGATTAGACTGAAGAGGAACAGGGTTGTGGGTGTGAGGGGAAAGCGTGGTTTTGGGTTTCTTAGGAGTGGAAGTGGGGTGGTTGAGAGGAGTTTGCGCTTTGAAGGGGAAAAAGAGACAGTTGCTTTTACGTTGGGCGATGGGATTGGCGGTGACGGAGGAGAAGGAGAAGATGAAGGGTTTGCTGGTGGAGTTGGGGTGGATGGGGTTTTGGGTTTGGGGGCAAAAAAACGAGAAATGACTTGTTGCTTTTGCTTGCCCATTTTTGGGCGATCAACTCATCCACCAAAATGAACGGATTTTCAGAGAGATGGCTTTCCAGAGGATGGAGCAATGGAGGGTATTGTCCATTTGGCGCGCTTTCCTTTCTGCCAATTACGCAGCTTTTACGATGAACAAGTTTCGCCAAACAAGACTAATCAGCGGAGCCCACGAATTGAAATAGTTTGGACATTGGGCCTTTGATAACGGTCCTTAGAGTCGGGCTAGTTATAATGTCCTTTCATTCGGCGAAGCTTGAGTCAAATGCGCGGTCTATTACCAAAATTTTAGGATTATTTGTATTTTTCTTTTTTTGAAGGACTTTATTATGCAAATACTGTGGGAAGTGCCAAAATGTTGCACTGTCTCAGCTTCTTTTAAACCTTTTTCCATTTGCCTCCCTCCCTATTTTCCTCTCTCTCCTTCTCCGTACTCTGTAGTCTGTACCCAAAGACTATAAAGAAACAATTTGCCGCCGGAAAGTTTGAAACTGTAAAGCTTATACAATTTCGGTGGGTAATTTGGGGAGAGGAGAGAGATGGTTACGTCACCGGTGGTGAACACGTATCCACTGTCGAGCTACACCTTCGGCACCAAAGAGCCGAAGATGGAGAAGGACACGTCCGTCGCGGATCGCCTTGCTCGCATGAAAGTCAAGTAATTTTATCACTTTCTCCATTTTATTTTATTTTATTTTATTAGATGTTTTGCAGGATTTGAAAAACCCTAGATAAACCTCAATTCTCCTGTTTCGTTTTTTGAGAAAGCCTACCTATGGTAGAAATGTTAGCTTCCGGTTAAATTCGTGTGTTACTTTGCTCTATGCTCTTTCAGTAACGTTTACAAAAAGCGAGAGACAGAGAACTAATCTTCAAATTGCTTATGCTGGACAATTTGAATTGGTTTGGTCAATGATCTAAGAGTCGAAACCCTAGCTTCTTCACTTTTCTTAGACCATTTTGGGAACTGATGGGATCTCGTAGATCAAAACGAAACTACTGATAAAAAATAACCAATATAAGATCTGAACTGGGATTTGGATTGTGTTTCTAATGTTTTAGATTAAGGAAGAATTGTGCCTTCTTTTGCCTTTTCCGGAACAGTGAGCTTTGTTAATTATTTGTCCCCCACCGCAAAAGTCTGCAAATTCAGGCGCTAAACTAAGAAAGTTTCCATTGAAGGATTAATTGTGGATAGAACAAGTTAGTGAGAAGACCCGTATGCTGAAACTTTGCTTTATAGAAGCTCAAGTTTGTGATTGCTTCTTTTGGTTGCAAGTTGCAGTTATATGAAAGAAGGTATGAGGACAAGCGTTGAAGCAATTTTACTGGTATGTTAGTGTGCTTCTTTTTGGCCATTACGTGAAAATTTATGGTAATAGTTTTTGCTCCTAGTTTCCTACACACAATGCTCACAGTCATATTTTAACTGTTTTTATTCTGAATTATTTATATGATAAACCTTTGTGGCCTGCTTTTTGTAGATTTCATTGGAAACAAATGTTTTTTGTAATAAGATTCAGCACATTGAAACTTCAGAAAAACTTAATGCTCTAATTGTATTTAATTTTGTGATACCAATATCGTGCATTGTTATGGGATGATAAATGTGTTTGATGCGGATTTTGTGCTTTGTCATTCTCTGAGGAGGTAATATTAGAATACCCTGTACTATTTGTAGTACAGTAAGATAGTAACTTAAACATTTCCTGTACAAAAGATTCAGAACACCCTGTAGGAATTTGAAACTACCATATTCGAAGATGTAAACTGCTAAAAGTTTACTTGTTCCATATTTGGTTGAATAATAAAGATCATTCAACTGTATGATAAAGCCTCTGATTCTTGCTTTTCAATTTAAGGGTTAATTTATTTGTCTGTAAGGTTGTTTGTTAGTTGTTTAACAAACAAGGAAAAGGTTTATTTTGGTTTATCCGCTTTTCATTTAGACCAATGCTGCTCCAAAATCACATCTTGATACATACTTAAGCATCAGCAGTCAATATATACTTGTCATTGCTCATTTTTTATCATATGAAGGGAGGTTGTTTTCACGTCTCAGAGGTCTCTAGCTTGTGCATGTGTTTACATATGACCACAGCAGTCAACCTGTCTGAAATTTACAACTCTGTCTTACATATGTGAAGGGTGAATTGTGCATCAAGAAAAGAGGAATAACATCCTAATACATAAAGGACTCCTTTTTTGGGGCACAAAACTTTTATATGTTTGTTCCATTAAATATCTTAAGGAATTAGCATTCTTGTTGGCATTATGAGGTTGTTGTTGTACTTTTGCTACTTTCTCCTTTGTCCGCAACTTACCAGTTGCCACTGTTGTTTATAGGATGACCATTTTAATTCTTGCTCTCTAATTTCTTATGCCATTTTCTCATGCAGGTCCAAGAACATAATCATCCTCACATTCTTCTTCTGCAAATTGGGAACACATTCTGCAAACTTCCTGGTGGCCGCCTGAAGCCTGGAGAGAATGGTATCATGTTATTTTTCACTTGTTTCATAACGTCTTTCTTTCTCTGTACATCTTTACTGCTGTGCTATTTTGGCGATGTTATGTCAGTTTAACACCTATGCTCTTCACTTTTGGCTTCAGAGATTGAGGGTTTAAAAAGGAAGCTGACCAGCAAGCTCGGAGCTAATTCACCTGCTCTTGTGCCAGACTGGCAGGTAGAGATTTCTTGTACATATTTTACTAGGATGAGGAGGGCATGTTGTCCTTACAATTTCCTTTGAACTATGCAGTGATATGGTTCGGAACAATTTCCTTATGCTTAGTTGCTTGTTGTCTTGTTGCAGATTGGTGAATGTGTGGCCATCTGGTGGAGGCCCAACTTTGAGACCATAATGTATCCATATTGTCCTCCCCACATCACAAAACCCAAGGTAGCGTGCAGTTATGCTTGGTCTTTGTGTACTTCATGTTGCTATTAATGGTATGCTATCCTTTCTCAACCTCCTCTACTGTTGGCATGCAGGAGTGCAAGAAGCTTTTCCTTGTTCACTTGTCTGAGAAAGAGTACTTTGCAGTACCAAAAAATCTGAAACTTCTTGCTGTACCATTGTTTGAGCTATATGATAATGTTCAGGTAGGGAGTATACCTACTCTCAATCCATTCTTCAACTAGATTTATAATTTGAGTTTTGCAACTTTCTATTCCTTTCATATTTTATTTTTATATTTGAGTTAATAAATATGCGGTGGGAATTCAAGATTTCAAAAGCTTTGTAAAGGGGAGATGGAGAATGAACTATGGATCTCTGGCAAATTACGCTTGGCATATCATATGTTTCTTCTCTAAAATGATGTCTGCTCTTAACAGCCAACATATTTCCTGTCTTAAATTTATATTTTTTTTCTTTCCTCTGGATTTCTACTGCTAATTTCCTGCAATTTAATGGTTATTTAGTCCATATCGCTTCTTCCTTCTAATAAAGAACACTTGCATGTCGAACAGAGATATGGACCGGTCATATCAACCATTCCTCAGCAGCTTTCCAGATTCCAGTTCAACATGATTACTACTTGACTTTGGCATGGATGTCAAGAGTGAACCTTCCTGCTTGCATCCTGACTGCTACATCCAGGAGAATATTACTTGGGCTTCAAGAGTTGACAGCCTGATGGTATTTAGTGAGAGAATTCTGGTACTTGGGTACCCTAAGTTGATTAAGGTGACTGAAACATTGACACTATGGCAAACCTTTGCACCCTAATTTGGTCACAAACCTTTTTATTAGTGTTCACTTTTATTATAGTTTAGGCCACTGCTGATTATGGTCTGTCTTGCCTGAGTCCCTTGTCACATTGGCTCCCAACTTAGATGGTTTATGGTTTTATACACTTTTAAGAATGTTTAACATGCTATTGTTTTGGGGTATATTGGGCTGTCATATCTTGGCTATGGAATATGTCTGCTATGTTTTCATGTAAAGCTGATTGTGCTCCCAGTGTAATGTGTAAGGTGGATAATTGGCTATGAATCTTGGTGGATGGTTGTTGATTAAACAAGCCTACAATGCTATCATGTATTTGAGCATGCATCAAATCAAAATTTTAGGGTACTTGTAATATTTCTACTTGACAGAATGGAATTATGGTCAACTGGACTGCAGCTGCGGATGGTTCCTTTGTGATGGAATGAAAAAAACTAAAAGCTCCTATTATTTGGATTCCGGGGAAAATTTTAAAACTTTTATTTAATATATAAATGTACATGGAAGTGTGGGAAACAATTCACTTTGTTCAAGGGAAGGATCTTCGATGTTAGATTACTCGGCTTATTTTGACAAATGGTTGGGGGTACGGAATGACATAGATCCACTTTGAGGAAAAACATAAGCTTAAGCAGAAGTGGTAATAGTCCAAACCCTAGGCATGATTGGTCAAGATCAAATAGTCATTCCAACAATAACTTGCTAAGACAAGTCTTGTTGATCGCTTACAAAGTTTAGGATATCTATAGGTTGCTGCTTTCTGGATTTCTTTAACGGAATTTCTGTTAGCCTTTCCCATTGCTGTCCAATGTAGTTCTCGATACCCGGAAAGCATTCTAAACAATGGTGCTGCTTCCTACCTTCTTCAAAACTTTCCTCTCTTCCATCTTTAGTCTAGCATTCAGAGCCTGAGGCCATTGACCCACTGAAGCATGGATGTTGGACGAGAGGACATGAACTCCTGATTCTTTCGAGTCCAACTTAGTGGCTCTCTCTATCACCTTTTCCGCTAACTTCAAGTCACTTCTTACCCTACATCCCCCTAACAAAGCTCCCCAAATAGCAATATCAGGCTTATACGGCATATCCTTCACTAGAAGCTGCGCTTCCTCAAGCTGACCATTTCGGCTAAGTAAATCTACAAAACATCCGAAGTGTTCAAGCTTTGGACTAACTCCAAAATCTCTTTCCATACTGTAGAAAATTTTCCGACCTTCCTCTACCAGGCCTCCATGGCTACAAGCAAACAAAACACTAGTAAAGGTGAAATCATTTGGCTTCAATCCATCCTTCTGCATAAGGAAGAAAATCCTAATCGCATCCTCTGTTCTTCCATGGATAGCCAGTGATTTGATCATAACATTCCAACAAAACACATCATTCTTTTTTATTTTGATAAACAACGTAAAAGCTCTGCTAATATCCCCACACTTGGCATACATGTCTACAAGGGCAGTCCTTACTATAACCCCCAATCGAGGCCAATCTTGTATCAAGAAGTGTATCCGTTTGCCTATCTCCAGAGCACCTAAGTGGGAACACGCCGACAGAACAGAAACAAATGTATATTCATCCGAAACTACACCTTCTAATTGCATTTGCTCAAAAAGATCTAATGCTTCTTGAAATCTCTCATGTTTAGTATAACTCGAAATCATTGAATTCCATGAAACCACATTCCTGCATGGCATTTTCTCAAAAATCTTTCTCGCTGTGTCAAGGTCTCTAGCATCAGCATATGCTCCAATCATCGAAGTCCACGAAACAACATTCTTCTCCGGTATCCTTTCAAACAAATCTCTTGCCTTTGAAAGTTCCCCGACCCTACTGTAACCCAAAATCATAGTATTCCACGAAATAACATCTTTTACCGGCATCGAAACAAACAAATCTATAGCGGAACTTACATTACCATTGCAAACGCATTGGTATATCATCTGATTCCATACTTCCACAGGTTTCACTGGCATATCATCGAAAACTTTACGGGCACCACTTCGTTCGCCCTTGTTTACTTTAAGAGAAGCCTGCATTTTTAAATACATATTAAAAAGCGAATTGGAAACTTCAAAACTTGATTCAAAGCCAGATTTTAGAATCTGGCAATGCACGTTTTGGGATTTTCTACACAACCCCAATTGAGCGCAAGAGTTTAACACATATGGATAAGTGTAATTGTCAGGTTTCAACCCTCTATGAGGCAATTCATCAAACACAGACAGGCAATCTTCAAGGGGTCCATTAAAGGCATAGCCTCTAACCATGATATTCCAAGGCATGATTTGCGAGTAGAAAGGAGTACCCATTTTAGAGAAAATGAGATCGGAGTAAACCATGGATCCAAACTCGGTGCTTCGGCGAAGAAATGTGGAGAAAATGTGGAAGTTTTGGCAAAGGGAAGTGGTGATTATGAGGGCATGGATTTGTTTTAACTGATTCAAAGTGCAATGAGGCAATAAATTTGAGATATAAGCCATACATGGTGGTTCACGATCGAAGATTAACTGCTTTTCAAATAAACGCACCAGATCCCGCTATATTGGAAATTGGAAAACGGTACAGCTTCATGTCGGATATCAATGGTATACGTGTAACCTTTCCTTTCATAATCTTTTCTAGTTTCTTCAAACTTTTTCTTTCTTAAAATAATTTCAGGTGAGCGTCTTAAACTTTATTGCAAATCTAAGTACAAAATAAATATAATATTTTAAAAAGTTCTTAAATTATTTTAAAAATTTTAAATAAATTTATATTTTTAATTAAATTTTTATATATTTATTTTGAATTAAATAACTCTTTATTATTAACATTTATATTAATTAAAATAATATTTATTATTTTATATCACGTATAATATGATATATTGACACTTCATAATAAAAAGTAAGATTGATACGTGAAAAAGTTCCAAACAAAAACAAAACACCGTTGTTACGGTAGAATCAAAACAACTAAAGCCAATAAAAGCAACAAACAAAACATAACTAAAAGCACAAATAATTCATTATAACAAGTTAATATATTACATTAGTTCATATAATATAAAATTATAAGTTCCATTGTAACTAAAGAAAAGTAATCAATATTTAATTATAAAAATTTATTTGATTTAAAATAAAAAATAATTTAATTAAAAATAATAAAAAACAATTTAATTAAAAATAATAAAAATAAAAATTTATTTAAATTTTATTAAATAATTTTTTAAAAAATTAAAATATTATGCTTACAAAATACTTTAATATTGATCAGTAAAAATTTACTTACATATACAGCTTGGCCTTAGGTACAAGATACATGGACGCTTAATTTCATTCTATTGTCACATCTTACTTACTAACTTCTATTATTTGCTTCTCAATTTTTCAAATCCAGATATATAGTGAAAGCAGATAAGAATAAGAAACAAAACAATATTAAAAAAGTAAAAACAATTCAATTTTATTCTAGAAATGAAACCATATACTTTATTTTGTTATTTATAAAACTAAATGTTCAAACAGAAGAATGTAACTATATATTATGTTGCTGTTTGAAATGGCATCACCACCATGGGAGTGAAGAAATTTAGAAACCTATCGCTAATTACTCAGGAAATTGAAAGAAGAGATGTTTTCCGATTAGATGGCAGAGATTGATCAACGATGTGCCTTTCTGGCTATTCCCAATGTGGTAGGAAGCCTTCCAGCGGGTAAACAGCAAATCAAGAAATTAATAGTAGCAATTAGCAAAATAAGACATAGTTCAAAGCTTGTGATTAGTTAATGTTATCCTCAGCGTATGATTAGTTGATCACAACTCATAGTTAAGACTTTCTAAATAAGCATATCTTATCTTTGGTAAAGATAATTATGGCAATTGGTCGTTTAATTAGGAATAAATGATATTACATCCAAGTTTCATCTGATCTCTGTCATGGAGACAACTGACAAAAGTCAACATCAGGTATACGACATGTATATAAAAAAAAAATAAGACATTTATATACCATTCAGCATGTTAACGTATGTACACGTATTTGTATATACTTACAAGGCTTTGGCAGGATCTGGAATACGACAGACAGAGATACGGGGCTGTCTTCTGCACTCTCTCATTCGTTCCAATATGAGCCATTGGCACGCAATATCTTCATTAATCTCTGTTGATTTTGATCGTTTGGCTTCAGGAAAAATTGCCGTTGACATTCGAAGCTTCCGTGCGTCTCTTTGGGTTAGGTGATGATGATGGATATATTATCTTTTAAAAAAAAAATTCCACAAGTCATCCAACATGATCTTTTAGAATATCAAGTGTGTACAATTTTTCTTTCATATTTTGCGTGAAGAATTGAAGGAATCCGAAATGAACTACTTTTCTTCCTCCTTTTAATTAAGGTCATCTAATTATAGGTGTTATCTGTTTCTCACCTAAAATCACCGTATAATTCCAATAGTTAGAGCTTTGTCCCTCAATTAAATTTGCAGCTCAATATCATTGGGATTCCAACATATGATCATCACCAACCTGTGACAACTTTTGCGGCTGAACCGTCATTTTAAAAACCTTTATTTAATCATTTATTCATTTATCCTTTACAAGGAAATCTGTTAAAAAGAGAAATGGGAAAAGAGAAGGTCGGAGAGGGACAAGTGGACAGCATTGCATCAGCAGTCTCGTACAATTAACACCAGCACATGCTTAATTAACATTAGCTCCATGCTTATGATAATCTTGTTTACTAATCTCTCTTATTACTGAAAAGCTACAGTTTAGAAATACAACTGCTCAACGATTTTAATATATGCTATATCGCGCGTATGGTGTGTCACATTTTTTTACCTCAATATCTTCTTTAATCATTAATTTTTCTATGATATTAATTAAGATGACCACGAACATAATTTAGTGTCAATATCACTTGGTTAAGTAACCTAGAGTTAGTCTAATGATTTCAGAACACTTTGCAAACTCCAATTGAGCAGACGGCTCTATGATAATTGTCTGTGACCCACACTTTTAATTCTTCAGCCCTTTTTAGTTGTACTTAAACGATCAGAGCATCAAGTCATTATAAGAAGTTGAGAATAATTTAAAGAGGAGATAAATCAATAAACATAAACGTCTATCAAATGGCAATTCTAATAGATTTTTGCATTGCATAAGGGAGGCAATTCAGAAAACTTGGATTTATTGATTGATGCATATTTAATTAATAAAAAATTTCATATATATATAAAAAAGATATTATCTTTGGCCCGAAGCTTCCTTTTTTCTTATTTGGATGAATCTTTAGCATGACGTCTCAATGGAACTTAAAATTGTCTTTTTCTGTTTTTTTTCTAGAGAAGAGGATGAATGTGTTGAAAAGAAATTATGTTCCTACGTATAATATATATGAATTAAACTAATTAAGTACCAAAAGAATCAATTAAATTAATTAATTCCAGATTACGTCAAATGATTAAATTTAATTAATTGTGTAATTCCATTAAAATAATTCATTGTTCAATGACTAATGAGGATCAGGAGGCGTTTTAATTTTATAAAACGCTTTATAAGATGAAATATTACCATGCATGCCTTGTTTCTAAATTCAGGGAAGCTTAAACATTCCCCCTCATAGAATGGTTAAGTACATGTCTTTTAGAATTAATATATTTTTTTATATTTGAATATATATATATGTATATATATAAATGCATACATATATATATCCGCAATATGTATACACTACAATATTTTTTTCATAGGATAATAGTGTTCTATGTGCATATATCAAACTCCAAATGCAATATGCCGACACTTATTTCTTCCCTTGTGGGAATGAGAAGAACTTGTCAAAAAGCTCTACTTTGACTTGATTTCTCTCTCTCTCTCTCTTTTTCTTTTTTTAATATGAGAGGTAGGTTAATGTTGAAGTTTTCTGAGGATTTCGTCATTTGTGATTTTTTTATAAAGTTTGGTGGGAGAAAAGCTAACTTAAGCAATTGTGTAAGTTAGAATGACAGGAAGCTAACTGCGAAGAAAAAGTCAACCACATGACAATGCAAGGAAAATCGGATTGATAACAGGAATTTCTACACAAGTAAACAAGATCAACCCCTACACAAATTAACATGCGCCAACCAATCCCATTTCTAATGAAGATAAAAAAAAAGAGAGAGAGAGAGAGAGAGAGAAAGAGTGAAAGCTCATGCACATCGGGGATGATTTTCTGGGAATCAAAGAAATTAATAACTACACTAGTTAAATATTTATTGAGCTTTCAATATGACAGCAATTTAAGCAAAATTTTAATCAAGAATCTTAGAAAGTAATTATGAGCCTGTGGTTTTACTTAATTTCTAAGCCAAGGCAAAAGGGCCAGTCTTTCTGAATCATACGCTACCAATGAATCAGCCATCTTAGAATATTGATCTCCCTCTAGTGAGTACACTTCTTCTTTAGCAAACTGTACTTCAAATTATGACTCCCATCACATCGTTTGGTGAGACCCTTTCCTTCAATACTTTATATATATATATATATATATATATATATATATATATAGCATAGACAAAATCAAACACAAACAAAAGAGAGAAATTAATATGTCTTTTATATGGACGCAATTTGTACGAGACTCATCAAGGTGTACAAAACAGTAATGAATTTGTCACAAAGTGTCAGGCTTCGACACCTAATATGACAAGATGCCGAGGTAAAAAACACGTCACATGCATGATCATTGGTTGCCAATGGAATCGAACCAAACTAATTGTTTCATTTGTTCTCTGTACTAGAAATGCAATATTATTCATTACCATTTTTTTTAAGCAATTGGACCTTGGACAGAGTAAAAGAATATTATAACACACCTGGCTAATCCCAAAATTTATTTATTAAGGAACTTTTAAGTTTGTAAACCTCAACAACTATACAATAAATGAATAATTCAACAGCCTTTTTCACGTGTAAATTAAAGAAATAGCTAATGGAAAAAGAAAAAAATAGGAGAAATGTTTTATGGGGTGGAGTGGGGTTGAAGTAAAGTTCATAAAGCAGAGAAATATTGATGTGGCACCAATTGAATTAACCTTTCTGGTTTAATCTTTATTAATATCACCTGTATAAGGATTAGTATCTGTATAAACAAATTCCATTAGAATACTTTTATAAAAAAATGAGTCATTATTTATCAAAGAAAATATTCAATTTGATTGGCAGCAACAATTTCAATATTGAATCTAAGGGAATATATTCAGATACAGGTGGCATATTTATATTAATTTCATGATACAAAGACTAGCTCTAAAGTTTGGTAACAATAGTCAATTGATTTCATCAACCTCTTCCATTTTGGCACGTGTAATAAAAAAAGCTTGTATTGGACAGTGATTTTTTGCTGAGAGATCGAGAAGTTAAAGCTCTCCAAGAACTTTATAAAATAATCGGGGATTAGTTAGTAGGAAGAAGCTTTAATTTGTTAATTATTCAAAGGACCAATGAGAGCTTCAAGTTGACATAACCAAATTATTTTTTTAATTTAATTATATGATAGTATTTTTTTATGTATTAATCCATGCGCGATGACAAATTTCTTTCTCATTTAAATAATGTCTCTCCCAATTTGAAAACGTAGATACAATCTGTCAAAATACAGCAATTTCATTAGAGAAAATATTTTATTTACTAGTTTATGAAGTAGTACCAACAAGAGTGAACAGCCGATAATTGGCAATGATTGATTAATCATTGCATAATGTTCATCTGACCAAGTAATCACTAATCGGGCCTATTCATTCGATCATAATCGGGACCAACCAGATTTTTCCAAATAATGTGACAAAGCATAGGATACGCGTTTTAATTATTTGTACAAACACTGTTTATTTAATCGAAAATGTTTTTTTAATCAAAATCACAAATTGATTAATTTGGATGGTCAAATTTATGCACCAATTGCCAAGGATTTCACCATTAAAATAAGCTGGAAACGATGCATTGGACAAAACTTCAACCTGTCGGTCTTGAAAGAACAAAGAGATCACATTGTAAAATACTAAAACGAGTTCAATTCCCCCCCTTTTTACTATTTAAACTAAGCAAAGAGGAGTAATTGATATGCAACAAATTAAACCACTATCCATTCCACCTATGTCAACTTGACATCAGGGCCTTTTAACAATTTTATCAAAGCTTTAATGTAGGTTCTAAAACGCTGCAAGAATAGGACCATCTTTTGGTTCGAGCTGTCGCCTCTTTACAGAAACCCAAGTGAATATTTAAGGGTTGAGGGGTTAAGGGGTTTAGTTCTCACTTCTCACAATAGTTAAAATTTATATATAATAACGCATTTACATAGATTTCTTTAAAGTCAACTAATGTTTTTCTTTTTGTAATTAGTGTCATCTCTAATATTAAATTTGCCCTTATTCCCTTAATGGAAAATAGGTTCTCAAACTTTTAGATTTTGGGTTTAATTTTTATCGGTAAGCAGATTTGCTTCAAGTTTATATCTTTTTTTAATTATATATTTTATTTACTGATTTTATGTGTTAATTGACTTTCCTCTTGAGCACGTAATTATTAATATATTCATTCATATGTAAATATATTATTAAAAAAAGTCATACCAAAAATATATATATATATATATATATTGAGAAAATGGTTGCGATCATGTCTTAATGCGCACGTAGGAAGGTATAAAAACGTTCAACACTTTGATTTTTGGGAAATTGACTTTGGTAAAAGGTGGTGATCCTAACCCTTTTTTTGATCCCCTGGAGAAGGAGGAAAGAGGATGAAGACAGAGAACCTTCTGAGGATTAAGATGGCAGTAAGGCACCACAGACACTTGATTGGAATCACTCAAAAACTCAAAGGGCACCGGAGAGTGGGGTAAAACTTAAAAGCATGTCGATTCTTGGATTCTTTGCCTGCGTTTGTTTGTATGACATAAGCATTTTTTTTTTGTCTCTGCCTTATTAAATTGTTAAATGTGGGTATTTTCTTGTTTCTTATTCAGAAAATGATTATTCAAATTCAACTCTCTTCTTTCTTTCTTTTTGTTTTCTTTCTTTCTTTTCCCCAATGATTAATTAAAGGTTAGTAGCAAAGTCATATATAGCCATCGGTTTGTAATGGTGTGAATATTTAATTCTATTCTTTATGATACTTTTATTCATTTTAAATTGAACACCTATAGTTTTATTTGGGAACATTCAAAAATTATAATATTAAACACTTATAGTATTAAAAATAAAAAAAATAATATAAAAACCATAATTTTTTCTTAAATTGCCAGGAAAAAACAATAAAAAAATATGTATATTTAATTAGAAATGTAAAAGGTAAACCAATACAAAAAAATTAGCTTAGGGGTCTAATATCCACCAAGTGTTGACAAAGTTATGGATAAGAGTAATCATAAAGGCTTGCAAACAGCTTAAGAGTTAGAACTTAGAAGCAATTTCAACGAAAGTATAAAGAAATTATGCTTACCTGGAAGATATTCCTATGTACCAAAAGACGAAAAAGAATGAAGGTATATATTTTACCAGCTAAGTGTGGTCCAAAGACTGCTTAGCGTATTTTTTTTTAATCTTTTCCTTAATTAAAGACATCGTAGGTTAGGTATCACGAAGTCAATTAAATGTAATTAATCAGCATTGCTTTTGAAGATAGGGTAACATCGACATTTCCTCGGCTTTAAAAGAATTATTCTTTCTTCTGCAATGAAAAACTAAAAAAAAAAAAGAAAAAGGAAAAAAGGATAAAGAAAAAGAAAAGGTCTCTTTATTCGACAAAGATGATATTCATAGCTCACAATTAAGTACTACCACTACTAATAGTATTAATTTCGTTTCCTCATTAAACTAGTAACTTACAACTAATCTTAGCTTTATACTTCTTAAGCCTTTTTGGGTCGGCTATTTATTGCTTTTGCTCCTTCTCCTGTAGACTGCCTCTAACCTCATAGCCTTTGGCCATCTCTCTCTCTCTCCCTCTCTTTGTTTTCTTTTGTCTCTCTGATAACTGATAAGCCAAGTTTTTAAGCTGTAACAAGGCAGGCACGGTCTCTCAGGCAAAAAGAATGGGTTACAAGCCATCTGACAAGCCAAAAGCTAAGCACAGGAAGGGCTTATGGTCACCTGAAGAAGACCTGAAGCTCAGAAACTACGTCCTTAAGCATGGCCATGGTTGCTGGAGCTCTGTTCCCATCAATGCAGGTCAGTTCATCGCTCTTCTTAATTCACTCCTTGTCAGACATTTCTAAACCCTTTATTTTGTAGTCTTTAACGGAACAACTAGCATTAGAAAGAATGAACCTTTTGTTATATTGATATTGAGTCCCCTGTAATATTCTGGAGTTTATTTGTATCCAAGTGCATTAGGGATGGCATTCTCTTAGAGGGTTGTGTTTGCTGCTGATTACTGAAGTGCACCTGGGCTTTCTTTGCTTTGAGAGTAATTAATCTAACTCAGGCTTATTATTACTATTTTAACTTGTGCCAAATTGGGACATGGGAATTGGAGTGAGCTTGGTTTTACCGACACTGGTGTAAGATTATGTAATGTTCGAGGACCAAGTTGTTCTTTATTTTACTTTTGTTCTAACTATTGAGCAAAAAAGGTTTGTTTCTTCCAAGGTAACTCGTGTCATGGAATAAATATTTCTGTAATTTGGTTTGGCCGTCTGCCTAAAACATTCATTGCAATTGTCTTGGCAATCGTTGTTCCGCTCCTACTCAAGTCAACAGCAAACAGTTCGAGGTAAAATCTTGAGTTAAAGGAAAGCGATTGATTCTTTTATTGTGTGTGAGAAAAGAAAAAGAAAGAAAGAGAAAGTGAAGGAGATTGATGATGACATCCATTTCAAAATGACTAAAATAGCCTCTCAACACTTTCCCCCGTTTTGGTCCTGACGGTTGTAAATTTGTAACTTTACATCTCAGGTTTGCAGAGGAATGGGAAGAGCTGCCGATTAAGGTGGATTAATTACTTGAGACCAGGATTAAAGAGAGGGATGTTTACACCACAAGAGGAGGAGACAATCCTGACCCTTCATCATATGTTAGGCAACAAGTAAGTTACGAGGTTGTTCCATTTACTAATACACCCGGCTGTATTTAAATTTTTACTTTTCTAGAATGAAACCAATAGACTCACCCTAGTTTATATGCCCTTAATGAAAATTTGGTTGACTTTTAATATAATTCATACAATTCTTGGGTTAATTAATACTCTTATTATAATCAGCAATCACTTAACTCCTAAATAATAATAATCATTAATCTTGCAACTATTCTAAGGGATAGTATAATTTCGAATTTGGTTGTAACTGCCTCCAACGGGCCAAATTAACCACATTGTTACAATGAAAACAGGTAGTTCCAAAGTCAAACTGGAACTCCAATCAATTGTTATGATCAATATAAATTATGCTAAGCAAATGCGGACTTTTCCAGCTAGAGCCTGTTGATTCCTTTCGTTCAGCAATAATCCTGAATCGTTTTATATTCTAGTCTAGATTCTAGAATAGCAGTAGTAATAGTGATTTAGAGAAACACACAATTGTCATTAACCATGAAGGCGGCCGTTTTCAGTTTTACGAGGCACTGACGAGGATGATGTATTTTCTATTGCACTAGGTGGTCCCAAATTGCACAACATTTGCCCGGAAAGAACAGACAACGAGATTAAGAACTACTGGCATTCCTATCTCAAGAAGAAAGTGGCAAAAGTTGAAGAATCAGAAGCTAAGACCAGAACTCACTACACCACTTCAAGCTCAGAAAACACAGAATCTATTCTGTCTCCCCAAACCGTAATAGGCCAAATGCCAAGCTATGACTCCTTGCAGCACTTTGAGAAACCATCGATAGATATCGATCAAAGTTTTCCACAGCATTTTGACTTTCCTAAAGAGCCTCAAAGGAGCTCCTTGCCAAAGCTATTATTTGCAGAGTGGCTATCGCTAGATCAAGAAGGTGGGAGCTTCGCAAATTCAGTTAAGCCTGTGACTTCCTCAGACGGCTTTAATCAAGGTTCGAGTTTAAACTTCCAAGATCCCTTCATAAATGGATATTTGCTAAACGGGGGAGCATTTGGCAGTGATCTTCATGATGGACTAAGCAATTCATCAATAAATGAAATATTTGGCTCGCAATTCAAGTTCGAAGCCCAGATTTCAGGAAATGAGTTCGTCGATTCTATATCCGGGGATGACATATGCAGTAATTTCAATATTAATAATGATGTAATGTACATATAAGGGCAGCTTTCCATGGCAACTTTCAAGGGAGAATAACTTCTAATTTTACTTATAATTAATATATCGGCAGATGTTAGCAGAAACCTGGAATAAGCTACTTTACTTTCCAATATAGAGACACACCAAACAGGCTACAAGGAGCCTCAGAGTTTAATTAGTTGTTATTCTTCCATGAAGTTGTTCTTGGAGTACTCCTTGGATGTGTCTAAGTACAGAGGAGAAAAGGATTGTATCTTCATATTGCTTCTTTATGAACAGAAATGGTTATATATTTCTCAACTTTCTGATTTCTTCTGTGTCTGC